GCGCCAAGGTTGAGGGAAGGCGCTCGGGGGCTTAAGGTTTACGGGGCCCGAGCTGTGAAAGGCGGGGTGTGGGGGTTGAAGGAGGGCTCAGAGGGTTACTTTTTGCGATTTGCCGTTGCTGCCGTTCTCAGCTTTGGGCATTGACACTTCAAGGCTTCAGCTCCCCTCATAAGAATGGTAGCTGTTTTGATCACTTGAAGGTTGGAACTGTGCTAGATGCACCACGAAGGTTCTAAGTCCCAAGTACACGCCCTGCTTAGGGCCCTAAATTACAAGCTCAGGGGTCTGTGACCAGTCCCCTACATTAGGGGGAGGAGTCCGAGGAGCATCCATGAATCCTTGAAGACCCAAGCCCCTCACCCTCAACCCTTACTCCCCTAAGATGCCTTTTCGACGCAACCGGTCCCAGCCTGGCTCGGGGCGTCTCGAGCTCCGGCGTCTGGGCTTCCGAGCCACTTGGGGAGCGCGAGTAAAGTCCTGTGGGGCTCAGGTGGGGCCTTTGGGGCTTTGACTGGGCTTCAGGGGTTGGTTGTTCTAGTCTAGGGTTCCCTCTCCACTTTTTTGCACGTCACTCCCTTCATCTCCGGTCGTTCTAGCGACCTTGGCACTTCTAATATCACCTTCGTCTTCAACCTCTGCCCCATCGCCAACGCCGGGAGCCTCACGGCCGACGCAAAGGGGTCTATGACAAAAGCTACCGATGTGGGAACCCTCAAAACAACCCGCACTTCAGTAGTGGCCCCTTCCCCAACTTGCCCGGGAGAAGCCGAAAGCCTTCAACGCCCCCAACTTTTCAGCCTGCCACGATGGGGGCCCTGAACGTCCAAGCCCGTTGAACCCTCAACCCTCTTGCCTAACATGGCTCCCCGGACTCCCGCCGAAAGCTCTGCCGGGGCCCTCCAAGCCCGAAGCGAAAAAAACCCTTAATTGCATCAGACCTTGAAGTATCTGGGTGTTCCTTTTGAGGGATGGTTCTTGGAATGACGCACCACTCACAGGTGCACATGCTTGTATCTATACATTGTACGGTGACGCTGTTTAAACATGCAGATTTTTCAATAATATCTAAACAGATATTTTATACTACCTCCGTTGGGGTTGCGAGCGGGCCGCCAAGCCCATTTTAAACAAGCGGAACACCCCTCCACAACCCCTCCCCAGCCCCCCGCACCTCCACCCTCCCCTCCCCTACCCCTCCACCTCCGCCCCTCCAGCCAGGTGAGTGGAGGTGGGTTGGAGGGGTGGAGGGTGGAGAGTCAAACCAACGAGAGTTTCTGAGTGGGGAGGTTTTGAGGCTGGACACACGTCCGCCCCTCCCTTCCCCTTCCCCCTGCCCCCGCCACCCCCGCCCCCGTGGTATGCCCCCTTTACAAGGTAGCACGGGTGGCCGGTCTGTAAACCTTTAACCCCAACCCCAACGGACCACGGCACCACGAGCCTAAACCCTAAACCCTAAAAACCCTAAAAACCCTAAATTTCAACCACACGGGGGGCAGGGATCCAAAAAAAAGGATGTGGGAGGGGACACCATGGGGTGGCAGCCGCTCCCTCTCAAACCTACATTTTAACACCCAAGAGCCCCAAAACAACTCCTCGCTGCAGTGGCGGCCGCGGCCGCGCGACGCCGCGCGGTGCCGACGGGGGCCGAGGAGGGCCGCAGGCCATGGTCGTGCGAAGCTTCTTCGTTTGCGCTTTTTGTGGGTGGGGGGGTGGGGGGGGTGAGTGTGGGAGCGGGGGTGGTGGGGGGTGGGAGGGGTTAGGCTTCAGAGAACAAACTTCTGCTTCTGAGATACTTGTGGTTGGGGTTGGTTGAGGGGGGTGCGCCGAGCGTCGTTGCTGTTGTGGTATCAAAATAGATTTGTCAAGTTCTTCGGCAGGGCTTCAAGGATTTTGTAAGAAGTGCGACGGCTTGCAATTAACACTTCATCGAAGAGTTCAACTGGCGCTGTGGGGCTTTTCGTGACCGGTGGCTTAGCATTCGTGGTTTCAAGTCCTGGGAAGTTACAGGTACGCCTCGTGTGAGCCTTGAAAGCTTAGCTTGAGCTCGCGGTCCACGGGATGTGCAACTTCGCCGATTGTATCGGCTTCGGGCTTAGTTAGGGTTGCTCCTTCGCGACACGTAGATGCACAGACAAGCTCAGAGAACGAAGCCTAACAAACCCTCAACCCTGGGAAAGTTCGGCATAGCCCGAATTTCGTGACTGCAGAAGCTGCTGAACTGACGTGTATATAGTGAGGCTTACCAGTTTCCTCTCAAGCAATTCAGCCTCTGCTTGAAAACTGTAGAGCAGTTTGGCGGGTTGGGTTGAGCTGACGCGGCCCAGGGTAGCTGGTGTCTTGAACTACTCAGGCCTTTTTCGCGATGCCAAAGCAAACTGAGCGTTAAACGTACATGTGACATGTGGCAGTCTGCTCCAGAGCTCGGCAGACTCGGCAGACAGTGAGACAGAAAGCCTGGTGAAACGAAAAGACAACTCCCCAAGAAGAAGACCAAAACCCTATCACCTCTTTAGAACAGCCACGAGACATCACGCGACCGCCAACTGTTGAGGTGAACCTTTATAGTAGAGGAAACTGACCGTTTAAGCGAGCTGGCCTCAATCCCTAGGTCAAAGTTTAGGGTTCAGGGATTAAGAAACGCCCTACATTTGGAGCCTCTGAACACACCCACCCCCCCCCCCCCCCCCCCCGCTCTCACCAAAACCCTACATACAGTACGAAGTACTGTTGATGATGTACAAGGTTGTACAAGGAATACTCTGGAAGTGAAGTCGTGTCGGGTTTCTTGCGTAGGCGCAACTCCCGTATGTGCCGCACCTCAGGATGGAGCTGTCGAAGCGCTGCTTCACCTGACACATGGGTTCCAGGGGTACGCCTCAAAGGTCATGGACAAGGCAGGTTCGAGGGCCCAAATGCTGCATGAGCTTTTCGTGCACCTCTTGGGATTTCAGGTTCGTGTGATGAGGAGTTTGATTGCAGATTGTCTCTTGGTGTTGGAGTTTGTAGCACGTTGACCAGGAAGCCAGGTCGGGAGTGTTACGAAGCACGCTCGCTGCCCCGCTGTTGCGCGCCTCACAGGTATCTTCGCAAGCAAACTTCCATGAGCCAACAAGCGACCCGATACCCAGAGAATATCGGAGAAGCTGAGAGAACACTCACCCCATGGGAATCGTGTGAGGAATCGTCGACACATCGGCAGAGCATCTGCAAGGACAGGGAAAACGAATTCTGACGTTGCCCCGCGAACCCGTCCAGGACTGCCTCATGCTGAAGAAGCCCATGTGCAGGCCCTGTGCCTCAGGCTTGACAGTCCAAGCATCTTGCTTGCGGCTTGCAGTCTTACAGTGCTTGGAGTTCAGGAAGACTTGCCGCGGCAGGAACCTACGGCTCTCTAGAAAGGCGTTGTGAGTATCAAGTGCCCGGCACGGCTCAGAAGGCTCGCAGTCAAGCCTTACCAGAACAGGTCGAACATGTCCAGAAAAGTCGGTGGAAACGAAACAGCTTAAACTCAAGAGCTGTGGGCAAATTCTGTGGCTTTCAAGGGGCGCCCTCGGGCAGAAAGCCCCGAACCCCCCCCCCCCCCCCCCCCCCACAAGAGTTCCTTAGCTCCCAATGACTCGTATGTTGGTCCTTTTTCAAAGCTCTGAGAAGATGTACGAATTATCATCCCTTTTCAACCCAACAAGGGAAAAGTGTCCTACCCCCTACCCCCTACCCTCTACCCCCGACCCCCCACCCCCCAGTCTGATTATTCCCCTAAACTCACTAAACTCCCTAAACTCCCTGAACTCCAAACTCCCTGTATTCCCTAAGCTCTCTATACTCTGAGCATCTCTGAGCCTCTGAGCCCTAAACCACGCTGAACGGATTTTCTGCAGGCCCGGCCTTGGCTTTGCTTGGGAGGCGGCGGAGCAATCCCCTGGTCAGCCTCAGTTTGGGGGCAAGGGTGGGGGCTTTCTTGTTTTTTAGCGCTGAAAAGAAGATTCCAGAATAAGATCCTCTTGGACCACAAAAAGAGAAGCAAACAACATTGAAAGATTTTTAGGGCTGACCTTCCCCCACCCTCAGAAGCCCTAACTCCTGAGGTCTCTCGGCTCCTGAGAAGCACGCGTGGCAGCCAGACCGAGATCCCGGCAGCCACGGAGGGTCCTGGGAGTGTCACCTGCCATGCAACACACGCCAAAGCTCGGGCATCTCAAGCCCTCCAAATCCTCACCCACCTGCGTGCCCCCAGCAGCCCAAGACCATTCCCTTGGCCCTTGACAGCAGAGATCTGCGGAGCTGCTGGGGAGCCTCCTGCTGGGGAGCCTCTGGCTGGGACTCGTCGTTAGCCTGGCACCCCCGGCTCTGCTACAAACTTGGCCTGGAATGATCAGCGCAACAATAGCATCAATGTAGCAAGTAGTCATAAGAATACTTGGAATGAGAAGTACCAGGTTTTGCGGTGCGAAGTGCGTGTGGCCCTGAGATGCCCCACTATAAGCCTGAGTGAGGCTCTGAAGCTCCAGGGAAACCCACACAGGAATCGGGCGATTCTGAGGAACTCGTGTTTTGCACACACGAGGTGGATTGCGATCTCTCGCCTTCGCCGCCGCCGACGGTTTGCCTGGGAGTTGTTGAAGAAACGCTGGCTTGAGGCTTGGGAACCCGGCGTAGGTAACAAAGAGATTCTTTCACCTGTTCTTGTGACGGCAGAAAGATGCGACGCGCACACTGATTGTCTGGAACTCAGGGCCCAAATAGCTCTACATAAAGCTCCAACTTGCAACTCAAAAGAACCTGATAGAAATCTGCGACTCTTGATGCTAAGGCAGGAGACCCGGGACAAATGTCGCTTCTCAGCCCCCGACCCCCACCCCCAGCACTCCAACCGCCCCGAAGCTGGCCTGCCACCCCCCCCAGAAGCCAGAACCAAGGGCGCGGCTTGAGGGACGAGCCCACTCATCCTGTTCAGCATGGGCAGGACGGTGAGTAGCGCAAACCTCTTTACACACCTTTACTTACACCGAGGACCCGGCCCTGGGGTCGTCTTCCAGGTGCATGGTGGACTCGGAGGGGTCCTGTGCGAAGCGAACTCGAGATCCCGAGGCCCTACGAGCTTGGGGGATGTCGCTGTAGGGGTTGAGGACCTTTGGAGGGTGCGAGTTCCCGGAAGTTCCCGTGCTGTCGCAGAGTGCTGGGTGGCCGACGATGCCGTAGATCTCTTTGTAAACCTCAAGGCGGACACACAGAGCAAGTCGCACGCAAATGCAGCAGGCTCCGCCTTGGCCAGTTCCTTGAGGGGCTCCTCGTACAGGGACCAGTCCTGGAGGCCACTAGGACCCACAGAGCCGCACCGGAAGTGGGGTTTTGCTGTGCGCGGGCTCGGGCTTTGGACAACCGGACAACCCCAGCCCTGCGGTCCACTTCCACTTCGCCCGGCTTTGTGGAAGGAGCCTGGCGACGTCAGCTTGAAGATGGACGGACGCTCTGCGACGCCGAAAAACCGACAAAAAGGTCATGCCCATGGCACCGGCTGGAAAACGAAACTTGCCAGCAGAGCTAAGAACTGGGGCTCACCGCACTTTGGGAGTCGGGCTAGCCCGAATGGGGTGATGCGTGGTCGTCTAACCAGCACTTGAGGTTTCAAGACCAATTCACAGAGCGCCTCCTGCTGGGGAGCTTCTGGCCGGGTCTCCTCTTTGGCCTGGCGCCCGGCTCCCCTACCAACTTGGATTCAGTGCTACCCCGGTGCAAGAGGAGGGTTGCACCGATTCCAGATCCTGCAGCTGATGTCCGAAATCACAGAGATCTGCAGTGCCTCCTGCTGGGGAGCCTCTGGCTGGGACTCGTCGTTAGCCTGGCGGCAGGCATGACGCTGACTGAAGCTTGAAAGCACGGCAAAGGTGTTGAACGAGCAAAGCCAAAAGCCCAAAGCCATCGTCTCGCGCCCCTGATGATTTAGAATCTGTTCAGCGGCAATGCCACCACCAGGACCAGGCTGATCACTGATAGCTCCTAATTTGCAAGCTCGTGACAGTATATGGCGAAACTGACATCTGAAGTCCGTCTCCCAATCCCAAACCTGCGCGGCAAGCCAATACCTCAAATGCACAGCAGAGATCTGCGGAGCCTCCGGCTTGGGAGCCTCCGCCCGGGTCTCCTCTTGAGCCTTGCAGAAAAAAACCTTAAACCAGCTCTAGAGCTCGGTTGAAGAGCACATACCATGTCAGACCCAGTCATACAAAATCACTACCGGCAATCTACACAGTCCCACCGGATATCTTTGAGCATGTTTGACTTCGCTCCCTGAAAAAGACAGACATCTCGAATCAAGTCAATTGACCACGCAGCTCCTACCAGCCTACCAGTGCACCCCTGAGCCAGACTGCACCCCCAAACCCTTAACGCACGGGACGACGCCCGCCGGCCCGCCGGCCTGTGTCGCCGGCTGCTTGCCTGGGGAGGTGGTTGCAGAGCGGGGGCTCATGAGGCTGGCAAGGAGGACAAAGTCATGGTGCACAGGGCCCTGCCTAAGAATTGCAACCCGCCCATAAGTCGAAGAACTGAAGGCATCGACTCCCCAACTTTGCCAGATCTGCCCCGAAACCCGGGGGTGCGACGTGGACGAGCCCACTCGTCCTGCTTCGCGTGCCGAGGGAAGTGCTTCGCTAGGCTTTGGGATGGGGGACTTGAAGCTCCAACCCAAAACCGTGTGCGGTCCCTGGGGTCGTCTTCCAGGTGCATGGTGGACTCGGAGGGGTCCTGTGCGAAGCGAACTCGAGATCCCGAGGCCCTACGAGCTTGGGGGATGTCGCTGTAGGGGTTGAGGACCTTTGGAGGGTGCGAGTTCCCGGAAGTTCCCGTGCTGTCGCAGAGTGCTGGGTGGCCGACGATGCCGTAGATCTCTTTGTAAACCTCAAGGCGGACACACAGAGCAAGTCGCACGCAAATGCAGCAGGCTCCGCCTTGGCCAGTTCCTTGAGGGGCTCCTCGTACAGGGACCAGTCCTGGAGGCCACTAGGACCCACAGAGCCGCACCGGAAGTGGGGTTTTGCTGTGCGCGGGCTCGGGCTTTGGACAACCGGACAACCCCAGCCCTGCGGTCCACTTCCACTTCGCCCGGCTTTGTGGAAGGAGCCTGGCGACGTCAGCTTGAAGATGGACGGACGCTCTGCGACGCCGAAAAACCGACAAAAAGGTCATGCCCATGGCACCGGCTGGAAAACGAAACTTGCCAGCAGAGCTAAGAACTGGGGCTCACCGCACTTTGGGAGTCGGGCTAGCCCGAATGGGGTGATGCGTGGTCGTCTAACCAGCACTTGAGGTTTCAAGACCAATTCACAGAGCGCCTCCTGCTGGGGAGCTTCTGGCCGGGTCTCCTCTTTGGCCTGGCGCCCGGCTCCCCTACCAACTTGGATTCAGTGCTACCCCGGTGCAAGAGGAGGGTTGCACCGATTCCAGATCCTGCAGCTGATGTCCGAAATCACAGAGATCTGCAGTGCCTCCTGCTGGGGAGCCTCTGGCTGGGACTCGTTAGCCTGGCGGCAGGCATGACGCTGACTGAAGCTTGAAAGCACGGCAAAGGTGTTGAACGAGCAACGCCAAGAGCCCAAAGCCATCGTCTCGCGCCCCTGATGATTTAGAATCTGTTCAGCGGCAATGCCACCACCAGGACCAGGCTGATTACTGATAGCTCCTAATTTGCAAGCTCGTGACAGTATATGGCGAAACTGACATCTGAAGTCCGTCTCCCAATCCCAAACCTGCGCGGCAAGCCAATACCTCAAATGCACAGCAGAGATCCGCGGAGCCTCCGGCTTGGGAGCCTCCGCCCGGGTCTCCTCTTGAGCCTTGCAGAAAAAATCCTTAAACCAGCTCTAGAGCTCGGTTGAAGAGCACATACCATGTCAGACCCAGTCATACAAAATCACTACCGGCAATCTACACAGTCCCACCGGATATCTTTGAGCATGTTTGACTTCGCTCCCTGAAAAAGACAGACATCTCGAATCAAGTCAATTGACCACGCAGCTCCTACCAGCCTACCAGTGCACCCCTGAGCCAGACTGCACCCCCAAACCCTTAACGCACGGGACGACGCCCGCCGGCCCGCCGGCCTGTGTCGCCGGCTGCTTGCCTGGGGAGGTGGTTGCAGAGCGGGGGCTCATGAGGCTGGCAAGGAGGACAAAGTCATGGTGCACAGGGCCCTGCCTAAGAATTGCAACCCGCCCATAAGTCGAAGAACTGAAGGCATCGACTCCCCAACTTTGCCAGATCTGCCCCGAAACCCGGGGGTGCGACGTGGACGAGCCCACTCGTCCTGCTTCGCGTGCCGAGGGAAGTGCTTCGCTAGGCTTTGGGATGGGGGACTTGAAGCTCCAACCCAAAACCGTGTGCGGTCCCTGGGGTCGTCTTCCAGGTGCATGGTGGACTCGGAGGGGTCCTGTGCGAAGCGAACTCGAGATCCCGAGGCCCTACGAGCTTGGGGGATGTCGCTGTAGGGGTTGAGGACCTTTGGAGGGTGCGAGTTCCCGGAAGTTCCCGTGCTGTCGCAGAGTGCTGGGTGGCCGACGATGCCGTAGATCTCTTTGTAAACCTCAAGGCGGACACACAGAGCAAGTCGCACGCAAATGCAGCAGGCTCCGCCTTGGCCAGTTCCTTGAGGGGCTCCTCGTACAGGGACCAGTCCTGGAGGCCACTAGGACCCACAGAGCCGCACCGGAAGTGGGGTTTTGCTGTGCGCGGGCTCGGGCTTTGGACAACCGGACAACCCCAGCCCTGCGGTCCACTTCCACTTCGCCCGGCTTTGTGGAAGGAGCCTGGCGACGTCAGCTTGAAGATGGACGGACGCTCTGCGACGCCGAAAAACCGACAAAAAGGTCATGCCCATGGCACCGGCTGGAAAACCAAACTTGCCAGCAGAGCTAAGAACTGGGGCTCACCGCACTTTGGGAGTCGGGCTAGCCCGAATGGGGTGATGCGTGGTCGTCTAACCAGCACTTGAGGTTTCAAGACCAATTCACAGAGCGCCTCCTGCTGGGGAGCTTCTGGCCGGGTCTCCTCTTTGGCCTGGCGCCCGGCTCCCCGAACATGGCTTGAGTGTGGAGGGTGGGGTTCCTGTGATGTTTGCATGACGATAACTGAAGATTTTGAGCTTCTTGTGTGAAAGCCAGAAGCCCGCCCCATTGACCACCCTGCCAAGTGGAAGAAGTGGGAGGCGTCACACCAGTGGCAGCCGCCGGCACCCTAAGCCCCTACGTCCCCCCAACCTTCAGCATGCGACAAAGCCCAGAGAGGCCTGCTGGGGAGCCTCCTCCTCCGTCTCATCCTGGTCCTTCGGCTTCGAAGTGCATTGCAAACCCTCACAGTCTTCAACCTTTCAAGCCCTGCCAAGATGGAGCCCACAACGAAGCCAAGGATTCCGATGTGGGATAAGGACGTGCCGGCAACGAGAGCCGAAGAAACAATGCTGCTTCCGGACAGTTGCACCAACACGGCATGTCAGCGCCACAGCCGCGCCAGCATGACAGGACACATTCTCACATAATCTCACATCTACAAATACCCCACAGAAGCCTGGAGCGACTCCAGCCCCAAGCCATCTCTACGCCGCAGAGCCTGGGTCTCGATAGGGCCAACCCTGAAAAGAACCTAAGGCACCCAAACTCCAAAAAACTGCTGCCAATCCCGAATCTCACTTGCGGGCCTCGACGGGCTGAAGCCTTGAGGCGGCCTTGGCCAGCTTCATTACACCTTGGAGCGCTTTGAGAGTCGACTCTCTTCTTGGCAGCGACTGCCGAGGGTTGTTGAAGCGCTCTGGGCCGGGAAGGGGGCCTCAGTCTTGGGGCTTCAGGACCCCGATTGTCAGTGGAGAAGTCGGGAAGAGAAGGCTTCTTAAGACTTCGTCGAGATCACGTCTTCATGGATACCGTTTTGGAATAAGCGACTCAAAAAACTCAGCAGTCATCCAATTTGGGAACAGGCTGCGAGCTCAGCTCTGCCCCCTTCCCATATGTCCATATGTTGATCCGTTGATTGATATGCCACTCAACAAGACCAGGCCGTGACACCTGGTTGTAAGTAAGCAAATATGGATGTCCTCTTTGTCAGATGGTCTCTGCTTGCGGTCGACTGTGGACCGTGTGGACTCGCAACGAAGAGTGCCCCCTAGCCGGGGGGCCCGACGCGGCACGGACATCCGTGTGGACATCTCGAGGCCCATGTCGTAGGCAAACTCGATGTCCTGTTTGGAGGATCTTGCTTGTGTCCAGTGGAAAATCAACCCAATTCAGAAACTCGCAGCCTCTGCCCAAGGCATGCTTGCCCGATGCGGGCATCCCCCCCCACTCCCCGGCATTTTGCCAGGCTGCACCGAGGTTCGTGCGTACTCTTCCTCTTCATGGGCTTCCATCTCACTCCTGCTCAGCGAGGCCTAAAGGTCACTGCTGGCCAGGGTTCCTGCCGCGTTCTTAGGGTGGGGAGGGCTTTAATGCTTAATGCCCCCCCAAACACCTTCCCATCAAGTCACGAGGCCCCCAAACACGATGTGAGCACAGAAATCTCTCCACTCTCTCCAGTCTCAGTGCCATTTACCCCTAACTAGTGAGCAGTGCCCCGGCCCCCCCCCCCCCCCCCCCCCCCCACCCTTTCCAGGCCGACTCCTTCTGTGCACAGGACTTGCTTGGGGCAACATTCGGGGACTCAATGGTGTCGAAGTTGCGCAGCTTCTGGGCGCGGAGCCTCTGCGGAGCATGGAATTATACAACAGCGTTGCTTCTCCCGCTATAGTCCCCAAAACTATTTAGCCAGGGTTCCATACTTAAGAGAATATCATGGGTTCCCCTTCTTCCCCTCCTTTTCTGCCCGCCTTTAATAACCTAACTTAGGCTTAATCATCCGTAAGTAGCCTGAAGTATGGGGAAAACCTAGGGGAGTACAAAGGGGTAGTAGGGTAACCCATGAAAATAGTGAGAGATTTACCACCTTCATGTCCAAACTGGTACCCACCTCTGGACCGAACCTCTATGTCTTGCAAGGCCTCCTGTCGGGGCCCTAACCTGAGGGTGCTGCGAAGAAACTCAAACACAGTACATACATATTTGCATCTATATCTGCATACATACATACAGACAGACATACATATATGTCTTTGCTACCTTATGAAAAACCAAATGCTAAACATAAAGAAATAACATACATACACAGTATACATTTCGCACGGCTTCCTTGTTCTTGTAACTTGGCTTAAGTTCCTCAACCGCAGTCCAATCTTCAACCAAACATCAAGATCCGCATGCCATCGTAATGGGGTGGATCTAGTAAACTACTTGGTAGGCCTTTTTTTAGTACTGGTACCCTAAACAGGCCCTAAACCATAAACAATACATTATAGAAGAGACCCCAAGTCAAGCCCCGCCTCTCCAACACTCAAAATTGGGTTTCAAGGTTGCCAGTAGCCGTGCTGGAGAACCCCTCCCCTCCCCCTCCTCCCGAAACCCGGCGCCTGCCACAGGGGGTGTTAGCTTCGGCGGGCGCGGCGGGAGGAGCGTGCCTCGAAGGAAGTCTGCTGGCAGGGGAAGGGTTTGCACTTCAGGTTTCAGATTTGGCATGGTTCTCGGGTCGATTGTGCTAAGCCTACGTGACTTTTGCGCGCGCATTCGCATGCTCTTGCATGTCTTTGCGTGCAGGACTGCGGCATCCTGTACCCTTCTCTCCAATCCCTGTGCCTGAATCTGGGACTGGCAACGGCATTCACTTGCCGTCTAGTAAAGCAGTGTACACGTCACCTTCCGCGCGAACTGAGTTTGTGGTAAGTTTGGTCGGGCTTTGGGCGTGGGCTGCTTCGAGCCGGCGGCAAGCACGAACCAGGACGCTTTACACACCAGGTAGCCTCGAACCCGACACCGCTGGACGGTCCCTGGGTGACCGACCGGACCATCGGTCGAAACATAAGAGCCGCAAGAAAGTCAGCCCCTCGAACCCGAGAGTCGCAATCTAAATCCTCCAGCCCAAACCTCCAAGGTTTTTTTAGGCTCCCCGAAGCCATAGAAGCACTGGAGCTTGGCTTGGAGCATTGTGAGCTTGAGGAGCTGGACGAGCTGGAGGAAGGCTGGTTGCAGCCATTGGCCTTGTGGCTGTTGCGCGTCTCTCTCGCATGAGACCCAAACTTAAGTTGTCACAACATGATGCTTGAGTTACAGAGATATGGTAATCAACACGGTTTCCTCATTCTTCTGGTCGTTTCAGGCGCCAGAAAAGTCTAGTACATGGGCGTGAGGTCCGGAGAGTCTTGCAGGGCTGCGTGTGCCTTTAAGGGGGTTTCGGGACTCAGGTGCTGACGTGGGCAACGGGTGGGCAACGTGAGGCTACGAACCGACCAGGTTGCCAGACTCACATGGTTAAAGGTCCGAAGTATGCCTCAAAAATTCCCGAGTCCCCGGCGAAAACAACCCCTCAGCATGTCTTCTCATGCCCCACTTTTTTGCATGTGCCCTCTAGTTGCGCAGAGGACACCCAAAACAACTGCTTCGGTTCAGGGCCTCGTCAAGCAAACGGCGCAGTTCAGCTTCCTCTGCGAGATTTCAGAGAGGGGATCGGGGGGGGGACAAACCTGAGCTTTTGCGGCTTCTTCCGTGTACTCTCCAAAGCTCTCTTCAGAGCTCTTCAGTTTGGCCCTCTCGGGGCGAAGGCTCTTTCGAGTACTGCGGTAATTTGAGGCGGTGCGCTTGCCTTGGTCAGGAAGACTGGAAATGCAGCAGCTGGAATGGGCACACTGACTCACTTAAGCAGTTGTGCTCGCTAAGTAGCCTCAGCCGTGTTTGGCGAGCTTGTCTCGGATTTATCAAGGTGTTCAGGGCTGTCCTCGGCAAGCTGCGCGCTCAGCTCTTGGCGAAGGGTGCTCACGCTGGCCTGCCAAGCGGGCGGGCTTACGTGATATTCACTGCATCTTATGCTGCTTCTTCGGGCTTCACTATCTGACGGCGCGTCTACATTAGTCTGATGTTTGCAGCTGCCCCTGTTTTGGTTGGCTCCTTCCGGGTGTTAAGTGAAGTCCAGAATCATGCGAAGTCCTTTTTCTGTTGCTACGGCTGACCGTGGTGAGAAGCTCCATCCCAGCACCGAGCCCTCTGCACCCTTCACAAGTCTCCGCACAAAAACCGAAAGACCTCGAGCAGCTTGTTCGGGCCCGTCAGCTCAAACCCCCCAGGAAAAAAACAAAAACCCTGACCATCTTGAAGCCCCCTCCTTACCCCCTTCCCCCCTCCTCCCCCCCGCCTGCAGCGACGTGCGCTGGGCGCGGAGCTCCGAAAGTTGTTCCTGGGGCTCGGGGATTCAGAGTCGAGGCTTCGGATTCAGGGTTGGCTGATGAAGGCCCGTGAGGATGTCACACTGGTTCAGTGATGCACGGTCTCCATTTGGATTGGGGGAGTTCTCCACCTCCTGGACAGCGCTCTCTAGCCAAGGCTTTGGGTTGCGCCCCTCGCCTCACCTCTGTCCCGCATATGCTTTTGGCAGGCTACCCCATGTCTTCTTCACCCGGCTTCCAGGTGTGTAACGGTGTAAGCCGCTGTCAACGGGCAACGCCCTTTTGCAGCGTGCCGGTCGCGACTTCCCAGTCCGAACAAAGTCCGAACAGGCGAACTCGAAGGGATGCCGCGGTGCTGTCATGAGAGCCTACGGCAACTTTTTCTAGAGCTTCGACCTCGATCTCGGAGCCCGCGCACGGCGCCTACATTTCAACCCATGCCCTTTGCCGCTTCAGCCGCCTTGCTGCTGCGCGCACCTCTTAACTCTTAACTCCCTTCGGTGTTTAAGCCGCACCGACGGAAAAGCAGAAGCAATGGCGAGCTCAGTCCCCGGCTGTGAGGTCGGTGACGTCTCCGTGGAGGATTGAAAGCTGTCGCGCGGAAGGAGCAAACGTGGGGAACTCTGTGGGGACTCTGAAAACTCTGAAGGGCTGCAGCGGGGAGGATGGGCGTCAGGTCTTGGTGCTGGGGTCGCTCTTGGGCCCGTCTTGAGCATTCTCGAGGTTTGGGGACTTGGTGTGGGCCTTGAAGACGGTGCCAAGGGCGCAAGGCGTGTGGACGATACAAGTAGATATTTACATAGAGCCATACCCCCTAACTTTCCTAAGCCCCAAACCCTACAGAGTTCGAACTAACCGGGCCCCTATATGGCGTTGCTCCGGGCTTTCAGCGGCGCGTGTCTCCTTGACCCCAAGCTTCGAACATGAGGTGCATCCCCTTCTTGTCGTCAGCAGTTAGGGTTTAGGGTGGGTTTAGGTTCTGTTGGGTTTCAGGGTATAGGGTCTAGGGAAAATCCCCTGGCTTAACCAAGGAAGAATCCAAACTCAAAGACGCCGAAGCTCTGCAACTCCGAGTTTGGGCCGGTCTCTACAGGGCTCCGGTGCCTCTTCCTGAGGGTCGGCAGCCTCGCTTCCTCAGCAGACTTCCACCTTCCTAAAGATCCTCGAATTTGGGTTGCCCGGCGACCGAGGCATCGACGAGGTGTGTGGTTTTTCAAGGCTCCCCTAGAAAGGTCACAAGGGTACCGCTGGGCATTCTGGTCGTGCTACATCATGAGTTGAGCGGCGGCTTTATTGTGTGGCAAGGGCAGCAAGTCCCAACACGGGGACGCCAAAGGCGGCAGATAGCTGAGTTTGCTGATTCGGGTCGGCTCTGTTCGTTGAGCAGCTTAGAGCACTCTAAAGATCCAGGGACTCGGATGTCGCACTTGGATGAGGTTGTTGTGGATGGTGATGTAACATCCTGCATCCTTACGCTTCACCGTGTTTCAAGCCTTTGGAAACTAAACCCGAATGGAGGCCCCCGGCCAGCCTCAAGCCAGCCTCAAGAATCAGCTTAACCAAGTTGACCAGGTAGCTAGGCCAAGCAGCTAGTAGCAGTTAGAGCCGAGAGTCTTGGCACTTTTTACTGGCTCCCGATACCCAACAAACCCTATTCAATTAAGAACTAGTAAGCCCAATAAACCCATTAATGCTGCCTGCTTCCCATACCCTGAAGCCGACGCTCTGGATGCTAGGGCCGGGGCCGTGATCTGAATGAGCGCGCTCGCGGAGAACAGACACCTGCTTGCTGGCTTCTTCGTGTCCTAGCGGATTGTGGACCTAGCTTGCCTAACAACCTTCTCCCATTGCCCTATTGGCCTGGGATCCTTGTGCCTGGGATCCTTGTGGCCAGTGGGTGTGCCTTGAAAGCTGGTAGATGTCTGCTCTTGACGACCGTCTGAGCAGACGCTGGCATTTCTGGGCTTCGTGTTCTTGCACATTGCGAGTTGCTTCAGTGATGTCCATGATGACAGCTGCCTCGTCTTACAAAGCCCAAGGTGCCCGAAATCCTGAGACCCTGTGCCGAACTCTCAACCCTCTGACCATCGACGAGGTGGGCCTTCAAAGCCTGGCCCAACAGAGGAAAGGATTAAGCAAAGCCCAAGGTAGGGGCCTCCTGAACTAGAATCTGGGCATTTCGTGTACTGTATTTACAAAGTATTCGACAGGGGGATCGTCTTGATTATTGTTTTTTTCGGCTCCTGCATTACTCAGCCGACGTCTGGCTGGCGCCCCTCCCGGCCTGGCCACGCACGGCATTCTGGTCATCGGCCATGGAGCTGCAGAGATGGCGAAGGTGGACAGCCTTCGGACCGGGGGGGAGGGGGGGAGTTGGTCATTCGGGTTTAAGGTGACGAAGTTCCGTTTGTAAAACTTACTTGTTGAAAGAAGCCGCCGGCACTTCCAGAGCAGCCTCCCACATGGCAAGCGTCCAGGTTTGAGCGTCGGAGTTCTGGGAGGTTGCTTGGCAACCGTCGTACTTCTCTAAAACCAGGGAAAACACAGCAATGCTAAACCTCCTCCTTCCCAGCAACCGCAGTTCGGGCTTTCTTTCAGTAGGAAGCGGAAAGCCTGTGGCTCCGATCCTCAACGCAACCCAGGAAGGCAAAGGAACCGAATTCTAGCCCTTCAAAAGGCGGGGGTACATCATGAGGGTCGAACCCCTAAGTTTCTTTTGCACCCCCTCCTTGCTTTGCGGGATGCCATTGGGGGCTGCATTCATTTTGCTTCTTGGGGGGGGTAGGGTGGGTGGGGGTGGGTCTGGCTTCTACAAACCCTGTCTCAGCTCATGCAATCGCATGGGACCTCGGCATTCAAATGTTCGTTCCAGGCGAGCGCTGATGCCTTGTCCAGTGGGGTCGTAGAGGTTCATGGTTCACGAAATCGAGTTGAGGGCTGCAGGGTCTAGGGAGTTTAGGGCTTTGGGGTTTAGAGAGTCTAGAGTGAGTGGCTACAAAGCTTGCATGGGGCTTTGCTTGTGGGATCTTATCTGGCATGGTTGCTTTGCGGTTTTTGCGGTGAGCTCAGCTCTTTTTGGAATCGAACAGGGATCGTTTTTGGAATCCACCCCGCCGCCCACCCTCCCGCCCTTTCGCCAAACATGTAAGGCGGACCCAAACCGGCACCCCAGATTTCGGAGAACCCCCCCCCTCCCCCTACATTAAATTCTGTGAGAATGTTAGGGGAGCAGTGGTTTCTGGCGGTGGCAAAGCGAAGCCTCCGCGGACGCGGCAGCTTCAAGAGCCAAATCCCTCTCCTGCA